AGCACACAGGGGAGTCTGCAGGCTGGTTGGTGGCCTGCTGGCGCAGAAGGAGGGGGTAGCGGCTGAGGACCGGGGCCTGCTGCCTCAGGAAGGTGTGGAATGCTGCAACAGCAGCCTCAGGGAGCTTGTGCTCCTCCTCAGGGACTGAAGAAGCTAGAAAAGAAGCAGATTCCTTGGGAAGCCAGGCAGACCCCATGACCTGGAGCACCACACAGAAACATCTGATGCTCTAACACAGTCTCCAGTGGTCTTCTGGCCCCACATCGGAAACAATGTGGACAGTAGCATAAGGCTTTGAGCCCCACTGCAGTATTGGGAAGCCGAAACTGGGGTGTTGACCATCTGCAATTTGAACATGTTTCCTAGATGATTTTCTGCCTGCTAAATGAAGTATGAGAACTTGTGACTGAGGAGGCCTAAGGGAAAGGTCTCCAGAGAATGGCTTTTTCAAATTGGGGGACAAACCTGCCTGGTTTCTTCCACTCCTCCTCCCCCTCAGCAGGGTTCTTGTGCACACACTCAAGGGCCTGAACCTCCCAGCAAAAAAGCGTCCAGGACTTATCTCACCGTAGAGCTCATGCGCCTCCAAGAGCTGGGGCAGCAGGCCCAAGTCCAGGTGGGCGGCCACCACGTGCATGCTGCTGAGGAAGTTCACCAGAAGGGCACGGTTCCCACTCTGGAGCTGGGGAGGGCGGGTGTGCTCATCAGCCATGGTACCAGGCTGCTGAGGAGCTCAGGGCAGGAGGCACCACCCACTCCCAGACCCCACCCCTGCAGCCAGGACCTGGACCCACTTGTGGGTTAGAGGACCTTGAGGAGGACAGGAAAACAGAAAGGGAAAAGGTGGAGGGAGTTGGGGAGGGAGGGAAATGGCAGTGGTCATCGTGGGATAGGGTGAGGGGAAGGGCTCTAAGCATAAGCCAAGAAACTAGGTGTGGTTGCTCACACTTGCAATTCTAGCACTATGGGAGGTTGATGCTTGAGGAGGCAAGTTCAAGCCCAGCCTGGGCACGAAGGGGACTCAGAGAGACTGTCTCACAGTGAAAATAAATGGCTAATAATGCAAAATCAAACAGATAACAATAGCCAAGGAAGGTACTTGGGAAAGGAGTCTGTAGGATCTGGGGACTGACCAGGTGGCCCGGCAGGTCTCCCAGAGCCTGTGGATGACAATGTCGGAAGGAGCCTGAAGCGTCACATGCCTTCCAGAGCAGAGCTGTGGGAAAAGAACTGAGTGCCAGGCATAGTGGCACAGACCCGCAGCCCCGCACTTCCAGACTGAGACAGCAGGATCAAAACATGTCTCATGGCAGCTGGGGTTACACAGCGACTTCAAGGTCAGCCTGAAGCACATAGCAAGAGGCTGTCTCAAACAACACAAATAAATCCTCCACCCTAGCCAGAAACTGAGGAGGGCTCAGCCCTGAGGTACCCACAAGGTCCCATCCATCAGGCTACAACAGGGTCATGCACCCACTGAAATGGCAAGGGATGGGGTCACCAGATAGGGGCAGCCATGGATGGCCCTGCACCCTAGGTGCAGGCATTAGACCAAGTGCCCAGCCGATGGAACTGAGCTCACCTGCAATGAGGACGTGTGCCGTGCTCTGCAGACCTTGCATTTTTCTATAGCGATGTTTGGCTGCTGTCTTCAGGGGTCCATCCGGAAGCCGGAGGCGGGCACCAGGGCGCTCCAGAGGGCCTTCCCCTAGCAAACTGTGCCCAGGAGAATTGGACGGAGGAGCAGGGGAGGAGAGGAAGGAGGTAGTCACTGAGCACCCTGGGTTGGCGTTGGCTTCATTCCCACTTGGATGGGATGGGGCGACAGCCACTGCATCTAATGCAAGCCTGGGAGGCAGTTGTTGGTGCCACCCCAGAGAAGGGGAGATCAAGAAAGCATTTGGGCTCAAACTGGAAGGCACAGGGCTGGGCACAGTGGGAGTCAGGCTGGGGCACCCATACCTGCGCAGACTCTGCACGAGGTAGGCAAATGGGCCTGTGGGGTAAGGCTCTCCAGTGCTCCCAGCAGCCATGGCCTCCTCCCAGCTCTCAGTGCCCTTGGGCAGATTCCGCCATGCACTGAGCACTGCATGCAGCTGCTCCACAGTCAGACCTAAGAACCCAAGCACTCTGAGGGCCAACCCAAAGCACAGGGTACAACCAGCCCCAAGACACTAGATCCCACCTGGCCCTGCTGGGGGACATCCCACCTGAATCAAGGCACTCAAGCCCTGAGATCCTCCTTCTCCCATCCTGCCCCAACCACTGACCGCTGTGTGTGACTTCCAGGGTGGCCAACGCTCGGGGGAGGATGTCCTGGCCGTGCTCCTGCTCCAGGGTGCTCAGGATGTGGTCCAGCAGCAGGGGCATAGTGGCAGGCAGGGTGCGAAGTCTCTCTGACACCTGGGAGGGGAAGGAGTGCAGGCTTCATGAGGGGTGGGAAAAGGCAGTGGCAGTTTGGTTGGGGAAGGAAACAGCAGGGGCAACAGCGGGAGAGAGAGACAGGTGGAGAGAAGTGGGTGCAGGGTGTGAGAAGACAGGGAATGGGTGATCAGAGATGGCAAAGGTGAGAGACGGGGATGAGGGACAGACCGGGAAGTGGCTTAGGCTTGGAGATGAGGAGCCACCAACCTGCTCATAGAGTGTGAAGAGTCGCAGGTGATCGGTGACCAGGCGCAGGTACAGCGGCAGGCCTGATGCCCGCTTCACTAGCAGCAATCGCATCTGGCGAGATGCACAGGACTCAGTCTGGGGACCGGGAGCCTGCCACAGCCTGCCCCTGTTCCCAACACCAAGCTCACTTCAGGCAGCTTTTCAGAGAGACCCATGAGGAGACTGCTCATGGCAAGACTTTGGGTACAGCACCCTCACACCTCCGGGCAACCGCTCTGACAGGACACAGGCTAGGTACAGCCTGCGCCTCACTAAGCAGTTTACTGTCTACTGCCCAATGGGTTCTGTCAAGACAGTATTATGAACAACAGCCCTGGTGAAAAGAGCTTCAGAAAACAACTCAGCTGCAACACAGGATGGGGACAGACACCCTCAGCACCCCAAGTCTTCCTGCTCTCAGAGCCACCCCACAGCCCACCAGCCCTGGCCCAGGTCCAACCTGGTTGTTGAAAGGCGACTCCTCCAGCCGCTTTCCATATAGTGCTAGTTCCTCCCTCACCAGCTGGGCTCGGTCAGGTGGGTCCAGAGGCCTCAGAGTGACCACATGGGCACCCTGGCTCTGCTCAAGGGTCTCGCCAAGGCCAGAGTCACTAGACACACTCAGCACCAGGTGTACCCTCTGTGATTGGGGGCAGGAAGCAGGAGGAAGGGGAATAGGAAGAAACCACATTAGCGCGATGCTCTCTTCCTAGGCCTCCCTCCTCCCCCTGACCTGCCAACCTCAGTTCCTTCTCGTGCTCACCCTGGGAAGGGACTTTGGGATCCAGTCTGAGATGAGCTGCCCATTCTGGTTCACCAACTTGTCAGCCCCGTCGATGATCAGCACCAGGGTCTGGCTGGGCTGGAGGGTCTCAGCGCAGGTGGGCAGCAGCTTCTGCTGAAGTTCCCACACCAGGCCCCTGTGTGGGCAAAGGCAGTTGGCATCAGGGTTGGAGAACTGCAGCACGCAGAGCGGAGCACAGGGACTGTACACACCTGTACGTGCTGGGGAGGGCACTGGCTTCCTGCAGCTGTCTTTGCAGGTAGGTACACAGGCGCCTGAGCAGGCTGAGGGCAAGACCCTGGTCGGGCCGGGCTCCTGAGAAGTGGAAGAAGACAGACGGAGCCACCTTGGCCCCAGCTGGAGCCCGCAGTGCTGACACAAGGGATGCCTGCGTGGACAGGGGCACCGACATGGGCACATTTCCTGCACAGGCACCCAGCCCCACCTCCTTGGCTACTCAGAACCCTTCCTCAGTCTCCATGCATCAGCCCTGGGACTCATACCAGGAAGGCGGTCTTGCCCTGTCCCGACTGCCCAATCACCAGGCTCAGCTTCCCATGGGGCAGCATCAGCTCCCTCACTGTGTCCTGAAGTAGCCGAGGCCGGGCAGGACTCGGTGGGCACTGTAGCTCCTGATAGGTGGCCTGTACCATCTCATCATCTGGGATGGACACTGGCCTCTCCGGCTCGGCCCCAGGCTGAGGGGAATGAGGGGATAACAACTCAGCTTTCCTGGCTCCTGACAGACAGAATCCCACCCAGGAGTGTCCTCGTTCCCCTTGCATTCCTCTGGCCATCAGCACTTCTGCTCACCTGTAGGTAGAGCTTCTGGATCATACCCCACACATCCTGGAGAACCACCTGCCCGAACTCCTCCAGCCCCCCGGTGAAGGGCCGGCCAGCCGCTGTGCCCCCCCACTCACAGGAGTACCTGCAGGGAAAGCAAACACTCCAGAGTCAGAGCGGCCAAGTGCCAGGCATCACATCCCTGGGTACCCGGAGCTGACCACCTCCCCAAGCTCACCTACGGCAGGTGATCTCCTCCTGTCTGCTGAGGTAAGCCTTCAGTTCTGACATCCTCTGGGCGGCCTCTTCTGACTCAGAAATGAAGTCAGGTCTCCAGGTATCTGGCACAGAGCTGACCAGCACAGACACCCCAACAATGAAGCTAGAGCAGACCCCGGCCTGCCACCACCCACCACAGGACACAGCTGTGACTTCCTGAAACTTAGGTAGGGATTTGACTTCAGCCCTTAGGCTCACATGGGCTGTAAAGGCACTTGCCCTGGATCGTGCTTCTCTCTCAGAGGAGAGAGCCCACCAATCCCCTACTCTGTGCCACACCAGATGGAGCCTGCATGGCCTACTGGGGAGGGAGACCTGGCTCTGGGTCAATGACAGTCACCTGAGGAAACTGGAATCCCGGAGATAGATGAGAGCCCGGGCAGAGGGCCGCAGGCATTTATCCTGGTTCAGGAACTGCATCACCTCCATCTCTGTTACAGAGCGGCCTGGTGGGTACTGCTGGGCCTGCAGAGAGAGGGCCAAGATGGACAGGCTATGCCCCACATCCACTAATATTTCCCTGGAGAGCCCCAAGGCCTCAGTGCTCTCTTGTCAGTGCTCTCTCCTGTCTCCTCCCTCTATTCAAATAAATGCAAGCTGTGAAACAGAGCTAACAGCTAACATGTTTTGAAGGCCTGACATGTACCCTGAATTTCAGAAATTAATTTTCATTGCTCTCATGCCTGTGAATATAGATGTTCTTGCTTCTCTTTAATAATGAGAAGTTGAGAGGAGATTAGCGATGCCTTTTCCCAGAACACTTACCACTAGAGAAGGAGATAAGAACTCAGACCTGTCTGTGGCCAAACCTCAGCAGACCCACTCCTCAAAGAAGCCTCCTCATGACCCTTGGTCCCTTGCAGAGTCTGCTGCCTGCATGGCACTCCCAGTCTGGAGCACAGCCTGTGCAGGGCCCTGGCTCCTGACAACCTGAAGTCTTGCCCAGCCCATCCTCCAGGCTCACCAGCCTTACCCAACGGAAGTGAGGATAGTCAGGAAGGTTGTAGCTGGGGGGAACGTAGCCATAGCGGGAGCCCAGAATCCCCACAAACAGCTGGGAGTTCTCCACCTCTCCGAGGCACACCTCCAGCTCTCTGTAGGCAAGGTTACAGGGACAGGTAGGGGTCACTGGGGATCCGGGCAAGGAAGACTGGCACAGAGCTGAGTGACAGGGCCCTGGCTCACAAAGCAGTGGGAAGGCAGGCTGCTCGTGTTGGTACCAACAGACAGCTCCCTGCCCCAGCCTCCCTCTGTTGTTACACACTCGCTCCCACCTACCTGGGTTCTGCCCCTGAAAACCCCATCCCTGATGTGGCCCTCCTGCCTGCACCTGTTCCTCCGGGTCTCCTCTTCGGTGACACCCCAGCGCAGGTCGATGAAATAAAGGCTGATGCGGTGGGAGGCGGCTCGGGTCTGCAGTGCTGGCAATACGGACCTCAGCAGCAGGTCCCGCTCCCCATGCATGTCCCGGAAAGTGGAGGAAATGAACAGCCGGATGTTGTGCCAGCTGCGGGTAAGCAGAGGGCCAGGCTCAGCCTGCAGCTCGGGCCTCTCTCACAGCCACAGACACAGCACAGGGTGTGATGGGACCCTCTGCAGAGTAAACTGCTGTGGTCTCCACTGCACAGGTCCCGCCTACCCAGCAGGTGAGCATTTTCCCAGAAGAACAAAAGCATCGCAGTACAGCAAAACTGCATACGCACATGTAGACTGGAGGGTGTAATAGCTAAAGCGTGCAGACAGCCCAGTGCCCACCCACTGGTGACCAAGAAAGAAGATGTGGTCATTCTCATACAATTGAGGGTGACTGTGGACAGAGAAAGATAAGCTTGAGTGATTTCTAGCTAAATGGGTCCACCACGAGGCCTTTCTCTTAAGTGAAATAAGGCAGACACACACACACACACACACACACACACACACACACACACACGTAGATACTGCATTGCTCGTGTAGTGTGAGGCCAGAAGTGTAAGAAAGGATTAAAATATGTAACAGATATTGTGAAATTAGGAAAAAAATATTCAAATAGGAAGGGACATTGTGGAGGGGGAGAGGAAGAAAAAAGGAAAAAATGATGAGAACATAAGGAAAAATGGAAAGAAACTTCTTATAACAAGGTGAAGGGGAAATGAAGAGAAGGTAGGGGAATGGGGACAAAAGAATCAAATGTCAAGTATGGGTACAAATTCCCTATAATGAACATGATCATCATATACACCTAAAGCATGCCAATAAGCTTAGTTAAAAAAAAAAATATGGGGATTGAGGATTCAGCACAGTGCTAGAGCTCTTGCCTGGCATGTATGAGCCTCTGAGTCCAATCTTCAGTACTGCATACACTGGAGAAGTAACTATAGTATTAAGAAATTAAGCAACTGTCCTAAGGTTCAAGGTACTATTTGGAAAACTCAGGATGGGAAAGCCAGAAGCTGGGCTCCCAAGCGCTTTGCCTAAGCCCTGGCTCTGTGGCTGCAGGGCCTGCTCCTTCCCTTCCCCTTCAGCACCTTCCCAGCAGAGAAAGGTGCAGTTCTCAACGTGTCCTTTCCATTGCTACAGGGCCCCTGTCTGAGAAGGAGCGAGCACATCCGAGTCACTAGGATGAAGGTATCTGAATAGGCAGGAGCTTGGCCAGACGGTTTCCTCAGACACAGACACAGAGACTGACCCATGCTGCGACAGAGGAGCCAAGGGGCTGGGAGCGTCCTCTCCAAGTGGCCGGAGCATCGGGGCCTGCGTCTTTCCCGGAGGTGGTGGTATCTTGAATATTCTGTCCATCTGTCCTACATGTTCTAGAAGATGTGATGCCCCATACTCTGAAATGAACCTGAGAACAAAATAAGAGAGGAGATCATTAGATGTCAGAATCAGAAAAGGTCTCCCAAGGACAGGGAGCAATGCCACAAGCAGGCCCAGTAAAAATATGTGACACCACAGAACCACAGGAATGAAGACAAAGAAACTCTGCTCCAGGGCCTCCGCCTGTGCAGGGCACTCAAAACATTTGTGCAGGACCAGGGAAAACAGCACTGGGCTGAGGTGGGGCAGTCAAACCATCCGAGGCTGGGCTATAATCACCTCTGACCAGCCATGAAAGCCCCGAAGGAGTGAATGTGCCCGAGACCTGAAGGGGGAGCTGAGGCCACAGGCGGCATCCAAAGGAAAAGGCAGGGAAGAAGAGGATGAAGAGGCCAGGAGGCAGGGTGGTGAATGCCTGCGTCCCCACATGCTGGGAAACTGAGGCAATTGGATGACTGAGACAAGCTGAAAGCATACCTAGGTAATTCAGTGACTTATTAAGGCCTTGTCTCAAAGTTTAAAAAGGCTTGGATAAAATTCAGTAGGAAGGCCTAAGATTCATTCTCTTACCTCATATTAAAAATTAAATAAATAAATAAATGACAGGCTAAAAGCAGAAAACCCGACAGTCAATCATTTCTGCAATTCAGCATAAAGACAAGGATTTTCTCTGCCTCAGAGGTCACAGAGTGCTAGGACCAACTGCTGAGCTGCTTCCTTAAAAGCTAGCACTGCCACCTTCTATGTCCCCTTCCTCTATTCTCTAAGATTTAACATAAACCTGGCAGGATACAAAATGGCTGGAGCTGAAGCTGCCATCCTGAGCCATGAGGTAGGTGCTGCTGAGGATGGTGGAGCAGTGAGACAGCAAGTGTCTGGGTCCCCGTAATGCTGTCGAGCTTCTAGGGCCATTTAATGCAAAAACAGGAATGTGCACTATCTTGCTGTTGAACAAGAGTGACTGGAGTAGAGGGCACAGGTAATCTCTCACAAACCTCCCAAGAAGGCTGTGCCTTCCCTCCAGCATCTATTTTGTACTTACCTCAGCATCCCGTCTGTACAGCCTGAGAGCGTCAAGTAACTGGGATTCCAGTTTACAAACCTGAGAAAGGAGAGCAGTCACTGGGCCAAGAAGGAAACACTGAACAGCATCTGTGCGCTCAGCGCCCAAGTTGGGTGCCCCATGCCCCACAGCTGCACTTTGCACACGATTGTGTTGCTGGGATGTAGCTCAGTGGAAATCCACACACCTGGTGTGCATGAGGCCTGCGCCAGTCCTTGATGCAGACACACACACACACACACACACACTATGTGATAGGCTAGGGTTAGGCTACACCTGCACAAAGAGATGGAGATTGAGGATTAACATTTCAGATAAAGTTCTGGAACCTGATGTGTACCAGAATTCAGACAGCACAGAGACAGGAGGTGCCAGAGAGGTGGGATTTCCCAAGCTAGGCAGGAGCAGAGGAGAAGCCCAAATCACTATTTCCTACACTGGGCAGGGAGCTCAGGCATCCTTACCTACTCATTTGCTTTAGGAGGACAGTAACAAAGAGACACTTGGGATTCACATGCTGCCAGATAATGTATGGGGCTAAAAGTGGCACACCGTAACAGGACGGGAAACCAAAGACAATAACTCTGTCCACCTGTAAGATAAGAGGGGAGCAGTGAGCCCAGCAGCAGGGACAGAAGAGACAATAAATAACTCAGGAAATAGCAGAGAGATCTCTACGAATAGGGATGAGAACTCAGGGCAAAAGACTGCTGAGAAGGATTAAGAATGAAGGAAGTGGGGCTGATGAGATGGCTCAGTGGTCTAAAGCACCTACTTAGAACAAGCTTAGCAAAGCACAGGGACCGCGGTTCAATCCCCCAGCACCACATGCCAGCCAGCCCAGCACACACACACACACACACACACACACACACACACACATAAATAAATAAAATAAAGTATGAAGATTTATTTTAAAAAAAAGAGTATAATCAAATTAAAAAAAAAAAAAGAATGAAGGAAGTCACCACATACTGTTTGGACATCGCAGTGCAGGTAGGGCAAGGGACGCGGTGCGCTGCAGCCAGCTCATGAGCGCTGATGGTTTACCTTTTAAGAATTTCGTGGGCTTGCTGTTGAACTCACCATTATTTTCTTTCATGGTGCCCAGCACTGAACTCTCAGCCCTCCTCATGTTAACACATGCTGTGCCACTCATCCACACCCTGAGCCAACATGCCCTTTTTATATGTTACATGGTGTAAGTTAAAAAAAATGAGATAAGGGCTCTTGGATCATAGGTCAAAGGGAAAACACTTCCCTAGCGTGTGTGACACCTCTAGCACCACAAAAATGTTAATTAACTATATTTAATTATATTTGGCCAAGGTAACAAACCCTCAACATTTGTCACTCCCACTATATTACCTTACTATATTTTGTTACCACCACTACCTTGTTTACATCCCTGCCTGTGATGTGGTGTGACAACATGGTACTATGCTCTAAGCACTTCTTCCCAGCTCTGTGTTTAGTGACTGGGCATTGGTAGCCGGAGATCGGCCACAGTGCAATTACTGACACCACAGAAATGAGCAAACAGATTAAGCAAGACTGAGTTGCCCAGACCACTGCTGCTGAAATCCTGCAGCACAGGGAGCAGATCTAGACACTGTGAAAACTGTGAAAGATCAGCTTGAAGAGGCCAAAAATGAGATCGATCATTTGTAGAGGAAAACAGGGCAGAAGGGGAGAGTGTCACAGGGGCTGAGCAGTACTCACAGGCACCCTGCGGACAGCCACAGACAGCAGGTACTTCTTGTAAGTATGCACAGGTGACTCATCCCCTTCCTCCAACTCCTGAAGGAAAGAAGCTCACGTCATCATTTGGTTGCACATGAGATAAGCAACGCTCAGGTTCCCACACCGACTGTGTGTGTCCTCAGGCGCTCACGTGTTGAAGTTGTAATCCCCACTGTGTGATACAAAGAGGCTGGAAAGTCCATCTGAGGAAGGCAGGAAGAGGTGGAGCCTAGGGAAGTCCGTACGGGTGTAAGGCAGCTCTTTTGAGACCCCTAAGGTCCTGCATGAACAAGTTGCTCTCAAAGCCCAGCCGGACCCTCAGTCACCCTCAGGCTTTCCCTCTCAGGAGATGAGCTCTTCCTCTCACATGCCCCAGCCACAAGAGGCCCCACCCGAGCCAAACTGCTACCTGTGTCTCACCCTCGCTTCTCCAGAACTGTGTGTGAAAGGAACATGCTTTTTTGTACAGTTAGCCTGCCTGACATATTTTATTAAGGCAATGAGAAACAGGCTAACACAGTGAATAAAGAAGCCGTGTCACGGTCTGTGGGGGATCCTCAACCTTCTACACTTTCAGGGCTTCACTGTCTGGGACGCTCCCAGGCCTGTGTGCATCCATGTATTTGTAGGAGGTTGGCTGTGTCTGACCTGCACTTGAGCCTGGAGTTTGAGGGCAGTCTTCAGGATGCCTTCCTCTGCCGCAAGCTCGGCGGTCTTCAGAGAACCGTGTCCGCACAGCACGACCTCTGCCTGCTCCGCCTGCGCCACGGTCATTGCCATCAGCAGCAGCACATAGTTGAGGGGGGGCTGATAGAATAAGCACCAGGTGAAAGAAAGCTCCCTTCCTTCCACACCCACCCCTGCCTGCCGGTCCCAGGCCAAGCGCCTCCCCTGGCTTGGGATAATGGGAAGGGGAGAGAATCTGCAGTGAGGAGCAGTCAGCCTCTGCGCCCTCTAGAAGAGCTGGGGGAGGAGTAGGGAAGAAGCTGCAATCCCATCCCAAATCCAGTGCTGTGCTGGATTAAAAGAGACATATTTTTGCTAACAGAAATTTAGAACAAAATATTATGTACGAAAAGGTGCAAAGTTAGTGCTATAAGCCATCCTAGGAATTCTCCCCAGGCAGCTGAGGGCTGACGCTTGAAGCAAATCCACGTCACTCCCTTCAGCCTGTGCCTCCGCAGGCAACTCGGGCTGGACTCAGCACACCTCTCAGCTCCCGCCATCCTCCCAGCCCTTGCGGGGTGTTTGGCCCTTTTACCCCCTGTGTGTTGCTTTTGGTACAGAAGTGGTCTGCATCACAGTCTGTCAGGTAGGCAAAGATGGTGCGGCCTGGCAGCGGGGGCAGGTTGTGCTTCACAGAGAGGTTCACGGCTACCTCCAAGGCCTGGCGGTACCGGTCTAGCAGCTCCAGGTCATATTTGCAGTGTCTGCAGGGCAAGAAAGACAGACATAGGCACTGAGGGCCTCTCTGGTGCCAGCACAGGATGAACAGAAGATGAGAATGTGCTTCTCAAGTCCTGAGGTGACTCTCCGGCTCGCTCCTCAGCCCTGGCTTCGTCCTCCTGCACAGAGCCCCTCTGCTCTGCACAGCAGCTTCCTGATGCCATGTTCTGCGTCATTCTCTCTTTCCACACACTCTCATGGCAGGAGATGGACTCACTCAGATATACTTTTGGAAATCAACTGCCACACTCAGCACATGGGTTCCTGATCACTTTGTGAAGGATGATTTAATGGCTGCAGAGTTTTCAACTGCATTTATTATTATTATTTATGTATTTGGTACAGGGTCTCACTATGCAGCTTGGACTCATAGTGATACTCCTGTTTTCAGACTCCCCAGCACTGGATTATAGCCATGCGCCACCATGCCTGGCCTCACGCAGGCTCAACACACCCAGGGAGCCAGGCCGGCATGGCATGCAGGACCAGGGTTTGAAACCTGGTCCCTCAGCTTGCCAAAGCAGGCGCTTAGTACTCTGAGCTATGTTGCGGGCCCTTCGAGTGCATTTTTTTTCCCACTGCTTTTTAAAGAACACCTGTGCCTTGTTTCTCTGAGCACCTACACTCCAGTCTGGAGTACATCCTTCATCCACTTCTAATAAATCTTCCTCATGCCTCTTTTGAAAAAAAGAAAGAACAAGCACTAACTGCTGGCTCCAGTCACTGGTAATTATGATGAAATGAGGAGGAGAACATTCATTCCCCCTTCCCTACGCACTCACTTTATCAAGGTAATGAAATGCCTTAGTTGTTGCGGGCAGCTCTTTTTACCTTTGCTGCTAAGAAAAATGGGAGAATCGGGGCCGGGGAGATGGCTCAGTGAAATAAGCACTTCCCTGGAAAGTGCAAGGGCCTGAGTTTGATCCCTGGTTCTGCCAAAAAAAAAAAAAAAAAAAAAAAAAAGAAAAAGAAAAATGGGAGAATGATGGAAAATTCCCATTCTTCAGCTACCAGTAAAGCAAATGGGTCAAGCAAACAGCTCCACACATCAGCTTTACCCACAGTCAAGACAGGAGGCTGTCAACCTCTTATGAACATTCATCAATTTTAGCATTAGAGGTTGGGCCACCAAATATTTAGTTATATATATGTGATAGACAGATGGACAGACAGACAGACAGACAGACAGACAGAGAGTTAGGCCTCCCCTGTTAGGGATTGGACCCAAGGTTTCCGCCATGCTTAACAAGTGCTCCACCACTGAGCTAAGTCTCCAGTTTTCTTCATCTTTTTTTTGGACAGGGTCTCACTAAATTGGCCAGGCCAACTTTGAACTTGCTCCTGCCTCTGATCCTGTACTTTATGATGAGACACAAAAAGCCTGGCAATTCCCAAGAGTCTATACAAGATTGTCTTTGAAATTTTTGCAAAGAGAAAAAATATGTCAGTGTACTAAAGATTGAGATTTAGTATCTATGGCGTATCAAACAGAAAAGAAGGAAAAAGATACCATGGTGAGGTACATAAATCCAGAAATGTGGCATTCTGGGGCCCCTGAACTTGGCTTCCATAGCAAGTGAGTGATATGAAAAAATGATTCAGTGAGATTTAAAAAATGTACAGTCTGGGGTCGCGGAGATAGCTCGGTGGTCTAAGTGCCTGCTTGGCAAGTGCAAGGACCCAAGTTTGTTCCATGGTACAGCATGCCATCGTGGGTATGCCTGGGATATACTGAGACCACCAAGACTAGACGTGGTGACACACACCTGCAATCCCAGAGCTGGGGAGGCTGAAACAGGAGCATCACTACCTGTACCAAATATATATGTATATAAAAAAAAGAAATTAAAAAAAAAGACATCATCCCGCCCACTTATTGTGGTGGTTACATTTCAGACACCCCTGTTATAAGTAAAAATCAGCAAAGTAGTGCTGTGATATTTATTTTAGCATTTATATATATTTTTAAAGCTTTATAAACCCTTCCCACACTCTTGTAAACCTTTCCTACTCTTTTCAAAACACTTCTAATGTTTTTAACTAACATTTTCTAAATTCAGAAACCTACATAATTTTAACAACATATGTATACTATACAGTAGGGTATGTATTCATCCACTTAAGAAATGCATACTGTAAACAGTGTACTTTATTTCAATTTAATATTCTTTTAATGTTAGAATTAACATTTTTAATACTTTTTTTTGTTTTTCTTTTTTGGCAGAAACGGGGATTGAACTCAGGCCCTTAGCACTTGCCAGGGAAGCGCTTATTCCACTAAGCCATCTCCCCGGCCCCTTTAATACTTTTATATATTTTATATTTTAGGCAAAATCATTAAAACCATAAATACTTTGCATATAAATACATATACAGTACTGTACAATGCCACAAAATTACATGATATAGAGAAAAGTCTATGACAAATAATTTAGATCAATATTTTTTTGAAACCCACAAAAGGTGAGTCCGCAAAAGTTGAACCATGAAATAGCAAGGGATTACTGTGACCAAAAAGCTGGGTAAGAGGCACAGGCCTGTAATTCAGCACTCCAGAGGCTGAGGCAGTATCACCAGGTGGTTTGAGGCCAGCCAGGACTACGTAGTTATAGTGAGTTCAAGGCCAGCATGAATGACATAGTGGGTTGCTGCCTCTAAAAAGGCAGGGAAAAGAGGTATACATTTATGTCAAACCATGAAAGGTGTTTTTTTTTTTTTTTAACAACTGGGAAATTTGAAGATGGGCTAGATAATAAGTGATAACACTAAGGAATTCTTTTCCATTTTCTTAGTTAGACCAATGACATTCTGATTATAGAGGAAAATATTCAGTTTTTAAAAGAATAAAAGGTAAAAAAAAAAAAGAATAAAAGGTGCAGGCAAAAAATAATGTCATGTTATTTGGCAGTCGTTTTATAATCATCTTGAAAAACAAGGGCCCAGAAAAAGAAATGGGATGAATCCAATCATTCAATGCAGAAAACAAGGTTTGTTTTTGACACAGGGTCTCACTATGTAGTCAAGGCTGGGCATGAATGCCAGGGGAACAAGGGTGCGCCCCCACACCCAGCTTCTGGGTTTGCCTCCTAGGTGGCTATGGGTTGAGTCACTGATTAAAAGATTCCTGAGCACTGAGTCCCACGAGAACGTTCGATGAGTCCTCTGTTCATCTTGGGTGAATATGGGTGCAGGCTACACTAAAACACTTGAGAGACCTCAGAGCTTCCACATGATCGAGCCCACGGAACAGTCCGCATGTCTGTCTTGCAGCCTGCCTGCGATAACTACCTTCATGTGCATCAGAAGACAAAAGGTGAACAGGTCAGAAATACAGCAAGAGAGAAAGGAAAACAGAAACACAGATGTCCCAGAGAAGAGAAGGAAGCCACGGGTCAGCAGAGTGGAGAGCACACAGCGGGCAGCAGGATGGGGAGCTGATCCCCAGACACAGGACCCTGGGGCACCAAGAAGGCAATCACGGCAGCAGGGCAGAGGCCAAGGCACAGCTGGGTCCACGACCTCCAGGACAGTGTCAGAAGACAGTACTGGCGGTGCAAGGACGGCGGGAGCACACAGGCAGGTGTGCGCCCTTGGGTGACTGACAAGCATGTTTGCTCAGAAAAATGTTCAAAGTTCCCAGCCTGCCAGCAAATGTCCTGTAACTCAAGCGTCACCTCGGGGTGACGAACACTCACCTGGCCTTGTGCACTTTCAGCTTATCCCTCTTGAGCTGCTCATATATCGCAGGGATCATCATTGCTGCTCGGAGCTTCCGGCGGCCGAGTTTGCAAAGGTACCGTGGGTACTTCGTCATGCATTTTGAGTTTCTTATCATCATCTGCCTCAGCAGCTTTGTATTCGAAGGAAAGGGCAGCGCTGTGGGGAGACAGACACACACCGAGTCAGCCACCTCCTGTTCCTGCATCACATCCCGCCAGTGATGTGTTCTGAGCCTGGCCTCTGCCCAGTCTATGCCCTGAATCTGAAAGGCAAGAGGCTAAACATCAGTCAGCAGGGCCGGCTCGTTCACACAGGAGAGGCACACAGGGTGAAGACGGGAGGTAATACCTTGATTGCAGAGCTGACCCGCAAGGTGATCGAGGGCATCGTGGGCATTAAGGAATCTGAAGGGCAACTGCCGACTGTGGATCACCGACTTCTGCAGCACAAGGGAGGGTCGTGAGCACAGCACCAGGGAGGGTGGAGCTCCCAGGGCAGGGACCTTCAGGGAGGGTGGGGCTCCCAG